CAGAGGAAATTATGAGTATTAAAATTAATAAGAGGAGAGGAGTTGGTAAGGAAGAAATTAGAGATGCCACATCAGGAATAGATGATGGCCGAGGAGGAAAAAGATAACAGAGCAGACTATACCACTTGTCCAAGTAAATACAGGTTGCAGCGTAATGCAGTGCAGTATTTACAAGGACTCGAGAACGTGGTATACTGCAGCGCACAAGAAGTGCTAATAGAGCATAGCATTAACATTGTGCATCTGTCTATGGACCAAGAGGGTCCGAAAAGTTAACATGCAGAGACATTGGGAAATTAATGAGTGAAGTTTTGGGAATGACATGAAAGTGGTGAGGAATATGAAGTGTTAGGGGGTGGACTGGTGTCCATCACAGGTGTTGTTTTTTTGATAAACGCTAAACGAGGATATGGTTTCAATAGTCTCAGATGGGAGGGAAGGGGGAAAGGAGCAAGGTGACAAAGGGAGTAGATGTAGTTTGGGAAAAAAGTGGAGACAACAGAAGACAAAGATGGGGTATAGGTATCTGGCAGCAGAAATTTCCGGGGGACAGGCAGGGAGCAACAGTTTTCAGATGCAGCTCAAGGTAAAAGGGCCCAGACTCAGAGATAGGGAAGAAATAGAACATTTGATAATGTCCTGTAGTTTGGGGGCTGAAGGAGATTTGGACATAAATGAGTGTACTTTAAAGAAGGAATACATGGAAAACTATTTAGATAGGAAGGGGAGCGGAGGTGCTGAAATGTAAGTGGGAAGGCAAAGAAGTAGGGACAGCAAGAGATGAGGTCGGAACTTCGAAACTCAGGACTGCAAAAGGGTTAGACGAGTTGACTGTGGAAGTGAGGGATAGAGAAATTTGTGGAAGAGCAGGCATCACCGAGGTCTGGGACCACTAGGACCCTGGAATAAGAGCCGTGGGAACTTCCTTGGAGCAGAGATGGGAAAAGCCATAGCATAAGTGAAGCCCTCTAAGACGAATCTGCCTTCCCTTTAAAAACGAGCAAAGGCAAGAAGAGGCAAGGTGCACCTCTTCGCAGTTAAAAGGCAAAAGGTAGGGTGGCTGCAAGATTGACTGCTATGGTCAGTAGCACCACAGACCGGGTATTCTGCCAATGACCTGCCAATATTTTGGGGGCAGCCAAAGCGCCAGCATTTTCTCGTTATTGTGCAGGGATCACCTCCCGCACTTGTAGGTACTGTCCCACTATGTAAACAGATGGGGGCAGCTCACGGCTGTCAAATTTAAAGCCTTACTATATTGCACCCCTCGGCCCCAGGCAGAGAGTACATGTCGGCTTCAATGATCGGGGAGATTCTGGAGCTCAAGTTGCTTCAGAATGTTTTCATTACAAACAAGTTGCGTTGTATGATCACGTGGGGAAAGATAATAGTTCCACAGCAAAAATTAAGGGGATGTGCTTAAAAAATCATAACTGGTGCATTGTCAATATTATTATAATCAAGGAGAAGCGCTAAAACCCATTGGATTATGCAAGCACCTCGGGTGGGGGATAGAAGGTATTCAGACTTAAATCAGGGAACGGGAGCAGGACCCAAATTTTCCCTAGATTAAGACCCCCTCACCAGCATAAAGGAACCCTCCCTTGAGGGGGTGGGGTCAGGAAAGATAGTAGTAGAGGCTAACTTAATATGAGTAAGAAATGTTATCAGGCTTTTAAATATGCATTTGAAAAGGAAAATAATGTAAATTCACTTTATGGCAATAGCCTGGGAAATTAACCTGCCATATAAGCTGTATTGACGTGCGGTACTGTATACAGCTGTATTGACGTGCAGTACTGTATACAGCTGCATTTATTGTTGATCGGGACATGTTCAATGTACCTGTTATGTTACCCTAGTTATTAAAACTTTCAAGTTAATTTTATGCCAGAATTCTAGCACTCGTGTGAAAATTGCCCTCCCTTGTCAAATTTTTATTACCCTGCATGTGTGTGGCATTTTTAAAGGTTTCAATCACCCTTGATCTAATGGTTGTGTCAAGTTGCAATATTTGGTGGTAAATACATTATCGCATTTAAATCCACATTCTATAGATGAAAATTACTGAATTATCAAGCATTTGGTGATTTTCAAAAATTGTTTGTTGAAGTACATCTTGACTGAGGGAGTAAAATAAAATTCACACAACATGAAGACTTCACATCTGCACTGTCTAGATCACCAAATAATGGGGTGAAGTCTAACCTCTTAGAGCATGGCTGGGTTTAGCACTTCATTTTGATTATAATTTTAAAGGATGGGCAATAATACAAACAATAAATCAACACAGGCTTTCACTTAAAAAGAATCTCCTGATGCATTAGCAGAAGCAAGCTAAAACCAAATCTTTTGCTGCCTTAAATCCACATGAAATGTATTCTCGCTGATTAAAAGTACTAGACAGCAATAAAGAAAATACACCTATCATAGCACTTAAATGTTCAGATTTGTAGCCAGAGGGGCAAAATATCCCACCCCTCTTCAAAGCAATTTTTTTGTTTAGGACTTTACAAAATTTAAACAGCATGCTATTGAAAACAAGACTGGGTTGTGTAAAAGTTTACTATATTCAGTACCATACACCTCTTATTTGCAAATTCAGTACACTACACACCACTTCCCTATACATTTACATACCAATTCTGCTTCATGGGTAGTCAGTGTACCCACTGGCTAACCAGTCATGAAGAAGTGAATGTTTTTAGATATTTGGGAGTCGATTGTCAGAAGATGGGTTTATGAAGGATAAGGTTAACCAGAGAACTGATGAAGGACAAAAGGCGAGTGGCGTGTCAAGGTATCTGGAGACAAAAAACCTTTTCCATGGAGGCAAGAAGGAAATGTACGAAAGTATAGTGGTTTCCAACACTATATGGGTGTGAAGCTTGGGTTGTAAATGCTGCAGCGAGGAGGCGGCAGAGGTAGTAGAGATGTCCTGTCTAAGGGAAACGTGTGGTATAATTATTATGCAGAGAATTCGTAGTGTGGAAATTAGGTGGTGTGGAGTTACTAATAGTAGTAGTCAGAAGGCTGAAGAGGGGTTGTTGAGGTGGTTTGGTCATTTAGAGAGAATGGAACAAAGTAGAATGACTTGGAGAATGTATATATCTGTAGGGAAAGGAAGGGTAGGGGGTCATCCACAAAAACGTTGGAGGGAGGGGGTGGAGGAGGTTTTGTGGACGAGGGGCTTGGATTTCCAGCAAGTGTACAAGTGTTAAACAGGAGTGAATGGAGACGAGTGGTTTTTGGGACCTGATGAGCTGTTGGAGTGTGAGCAGGGTAATATTTTGTGAAGGGATTCAGGGAAACTGGTTAGCCGGACTCGAGTCCTGGAAATGGGAAGCACAATGCCTGTACTTTAAAGGAGGTGTTTGGGATATTGGCAGTCTGGAGTGACTAAACTGTTGTATCTGGGCACCTCTACAAAGACGGTGATTATGTATGAGCGAGGTGAAAGTGCTGAATGAGAAAGTATTTCTTTCTTGAGATTTTCTTTTTTTGGGTCACCTTGCCTTGTTGGAAGATGACCAACGATTTTTTTTTTTTGGGGGGGGGGGGGGGGGGGGGGGGGTAAGCAAAAATACTAATCAGAAATCAAAAAAATGTAGTTATTTACCATAGTTATATCAGAAAAACATTTTTAAAGCTTAACCCAAAATGGAACTAAAAAAAATTCAGAGGTTTTTGGAAAAAATAAAAAAAGTGCATTTTTTAGCTGCATTTTTATAAATCAAAGACTAAAACAAGTGAATCAAATAAAAAAATTTCTATTTGGTTGACTAAAAAAAATGTTCCTTAACAGCGCAGTATCAAAGTGCCGGGAAGTGAAGTTTTACGTATACAAAAAAAAATTTTAAATTTCTTTTAGTTTTAACACTTAGTACACTAGTTTATGATTATATGTATTTAAAGAAAATTTAACACTTCAAACATTGGGAAATGCTTAACTCGACATTGCTCCACTTGAAACATACGGTATACATTGGCTTAATTTATTTTTATTCTATTTTTTCACTACTTTGGCCTTTAACATTATATACAAGGAATACTAACACTAATTGTTTAACATGGAACATGGAAATGTCACACTAACTATTGGGTAATCCTTTGTTAAAAATGCTTAGTACTTTGAGACTTAATTCCAATTTTAGTATGAAGTTGTACTAAATTTGGAAAAAGTTATCTTCATGCTACTTCCAAACTCTTGGCTAGTAGAGAAGCTGGTGGTGGAACAAAAGCTGATTTCATTGTTTACTTATGTTAGGCATACTAGTATGTTGGACAATCATCAACTTGAGTTAACCATAATTCAGTGTGTGGACCCCTCCTGGCCTTAATGCCCCTTCCCCCTTTCTACAATAGATTGTAGAAGACCCAAAGAGTGGTGCCGAGGTCAAAAAATTTGACAGGTGGCAGATTTGAAGGCAGGAAAAACTGAGCGTACTATTGTAGCACATTGGACACAGTCGTCAGTTGCATACTAGTACACTTGACAGTTTAAAGGTATGTTTGCATTTTCCTGTAGCCAGTGAAAACTGGCAACATTTTACAAGAAATCAGCTTAGGAAATAAAGATGAACTGGTAAAAATAGTTTATTAATTTAATATCCATTACAGATGGAGAAAATAGAAAAACAGGTACACAAGGAAAGGAATAGTTTAAGACTAGTATACACTACAGTTGTATTTTAATAGTTTTTCAATTTTTTTGTGTTATATACTGTAAACTAAGTAGAGCATGAGAAGAATCAATCCAAAATTCTGGAGGCAATGAAGGTCAACCTTTGTGGTTCATTTGTAAAACAAAGTCACTCAGGACTAGGAATGGAATGAAATGTCCATTGTAAAGCTAAAACAAAATTCAAGACTGCACATAAATGTGCTCAATCCTATTGAACTTAAAACCTTTTTCCTACTAACTTCACATACACCTTTAACCAGAATAATCTTCAGTGCTAGTTAGGCAATACAGCCAATGTTGTTTATCCCTATTACAAGGTTTGCCACCTCTTGCTTTCTGATGACTAATGTTTACTCAAAGGGTGCAGACATTGCCTTAGCCTGTGCTCGTACTCTCTTCTCGTATTCCAGTCGATTTTGGCTGAAAATAAAATACCAAGTAAATCCAGTACCTTCATTAGCCTTATGTACTTATAAATTTTTAAAGTAAAACTGAAAGATCCAATACTGTCTTAAGTTTCCCTTTAGTTTACCAATTTCCATTAACCTGAAAAGAACTGAAGGATCCCACAGCCACTTATAATATTTCTTCAATTTAAAAATTGAATTTATACTAATTATTTAACCCCTAACTTTTAGAGCAATTTGATGTGAGCAAAGATGCTTAATTACGCAAAAATATTTATTCATATTGCTGAATAGCTCAAAAGCACTGTTTACACATCCAGCTGCAGCAAAAGTAAATTTGATAAAATGCCTTCAAAACTGGCAAGTATGCCGACAGAGTAAACCAAAATTTACGAGGAGCAAACAGCTCCACATAAATTTTTTCATATTCTGCCTCAGCAACACCTATGCATGTACTCTAAAGCATTTTGAAATGCTTACCAATAAATAGTGTAAGCTTCAGCCTGTGCAGGGTCCTTAATATTGGGGTCATTGAGAAGATCTTGTATGCCCAATAGGATCTGTTTAATAGTAATAGCTGGCCTCCAATCCTTCTCTTCATCTAACAATGACAAGCAGACAGTTCCTGCGCAAAAGAAAATTATACAAATACAAAGTAATTTATACCACATTAACACGATAAATTATGCACAGATTTTAGTACCCGTTTCCCTGTTGTGAATAACCACACAGAATTCATAATACATTTACTTTCAACGAACACTAAGTCATCCTTACACGTTCAGCTGTACTCTATACTCAGAACATCAGTTTCCAAATTGTGTATAATCAAACTAGTTAAGATACTTTTTGCTTAAGATTTCTTTCGGATGCATTTGTGTAGCAAAAAAGATTTCCACTGAGCAAAAGTGCTCCCAAGTGTCTTGGCAGTCACTACAATGGAAAATAAAAGTTTGATGGCAAGGAAAACCGAGACGGGAAAAAGTGATATTTACAGTACAGTGGACATTCATAATTTGCGAGGGCGACATTCCTGAAATTTGTGTTACCAACGTTTTCCATGACTCAGGTGTAAAAAACATGGGTAAAATTAAGGTTGCATGCCTGAGAACCAGTCAAATTTCTTTAATGTAATACAGTGGACCCCCGGTATTCGATGGCATCGGTATTCGATAAATCCGGTATTCAATGCATTATATCTCAAAAATTCTGCCTCGGTATCCGATCGAAAACCCGGTATTCAATACGATTTGTACGAGACGTGTCCACGTGTGGCCTGAACTCCCCCGTGTGTGCGTGTTTACAGACCAGCCAGTGTGCGCACATCTAAGGATACATTCGGTACATTCCATATTATCACTGTTTCTGGTGCATGTTTCTGCAAAACAAGTCACCATGGGCCCCAAGAAAGCTTCTAGCGCCAACCCTTCAAGAAAAATGGTGCTAATGACTATTGAAATGAAGAAAGAGATAATTGCAAAGTACGAAAGTGGAGTGCGTGTGTCGGAGCTGGTCAGGTTGTATAATAAACCCCAATCAACCATCTCTACTAGTGACCAGGAAAACGGCAATCAAGGAAGCTGTTCTTGCAAAACGTGCAACTAATTACGAAACAGCGACTGCAAGTGTTAGAAAATGTTGAGAGACTGTTATTGGTGTGGATAAATGAAAAACAGATAGCAGGAGATAGCATCTCTCAAGCGATCATTTGTGAAAAGGCTAGGCAGTTGCATGACGATTTGGTAAAGAAATTGCCTGCAACTAGTGGTGATGCGAGTGAATTTAAGGCCAGCAAAGGTTGGTTTGAAAGATTTAAGAATCGTAGTGGCATACATAGTGTGATTAGGCATGGTGAGGCTGCCAGTTCGGACCAAAAAGCAGCTGAAAAATATGTGAAGGAATTCAAGGATTACATAGACAGTGAAGACTTGAAACCTGAACAAGTGTTTAATTGTGACGAAACAGGCCTGTTTTGGAAGAAAATGCCAAGCAGGACCTACATTACTCAGGAGGAAAAGGCACTCCCAGGACATAGGCCTATGAAAGACAGACTTACTCTGTTGATGTGTGCCAATGCTAGTGGTGATTGCAAAGTGAAGCCTTTATTGGTGTATCACTCAAACTCCCAGAGTGTTCATGAAAAACAATGTCCTCAAGGCTAATTTGTGTGTTTCAAGTGCTTTACCTGGAGAGAGTTCCGGGGGTCAACGCCCCCGCGGCCCGGTCTGTGACCAGGCCTCCTGGTGGATCAGAGCCTGATCAAACAGGCTGTTGCTGCTGGCTGCACGCAAACCAAAGTACGAGCCACAGCCCGGCTGATCAGGAACTGACTTTAGGTGCTTGTCCAGTGCCAGCTTGAAGACTGCCAGGGGTCTGTTGGTAATCCCCCTTATGTGTACTGGGAGGCAGTTGAACAAACTCAACTGACTCTTTTAGAGTTTTGGAAGAATCATTTTAATATCCTCAATTGTATAAACCTTATAGGTATGGCTTGGGAGGGATTGACTAAGAGGACCTTGAACTCTGCTTGGAAAAAAAAACTAGCCAGAATGTGTAGACAAAAGGGATTTTGAAGGATTTGAGGCTAACCCTGAGAAGTCTATGCCAGTTGAGGAATCCATTGTGGCACTGGAGAAGTCCTTGGGGTTGGAGGTTAGTGGGGAGGATGTGGAAGAGTTGGTGGAGGAGGACAATACAGAACTAACCACTGATGAGCTGCTAGATCATCAACAGCAAGAGGCCACACCTGCAGAAACTGCTCCGAAGGAAGGGATAGAGAAATTTAAGAAGTTGCCTACTTCACAAATTAAGGAAATGTGTGCAATGTGGCTCGATGTGCAAACCTTTTTTGATGACAATCACCCTAACACAGCTATTGCAAGCCATGCTGGTGACTATTACACTGACAATGTTGTGAAACACTTTAGGAATGTCATAAAGGAACGGGAGGTACAGGCCACTATGGACAGATATGTTGTGCGACAGAAGTCCAGTGACTCAAGCTGGTCCTAGTGGCATTAAAAGAAGGGAAGTAACCCCAGAAAAGGACTTGCTACCTCAAGTCCTAATGGAAGGGGATTCCCCTTCTAAACACAACACCTCTCGCCTCCTCCCATCCCATCAATCACCAGATCTTCATTAAAGGTAAGTGTCAATTATTCTTTTGTTATTGTAATTATTCTATTGCATTAAACTTAATATTTCATGTAGTAAAATTTTTTTTTTTTTCATACTTTTGGGCATCTTGCACGAATTAACCCGTAAACAGTCCAAACGTATACAGTGGACCCTCGACCAACGATGGCATCGATTAACGATAAATCCGACTAGCGATACATTTTAACGCAAAAATTTTTGCCTCTACTAGCGCTAAAAAACTCTACCAACACTATTTGTTCCGTCAGACGCGTCCACTTCTGGCCAGTGTTTACAAGCCAGCCAGCCACCGCGGTCGCTTCCAAGCATACAATCGGAACATTTCATGTTATCACAGCCTTTTTAGTGATTGCACCTGCAAAATAAGTCACCATGGGCCCCAAGAAATCTAGTGCCAACCCTACAGCAAAAAGGGTGAGAATTACTATGGATATGAAGAAAGATCATTGCTAAGTATGAAAGTGGAGTGCGTGTCTCCGAGCTGGCCAGGTTGTACACAAAACCCCAATCAACCATTGCTACTATTGTGGCCAAGAAAACGGCAATCAAGGAAGCTGTTCTTGCCAAAGGTGCAACTATGTTTTCGAAACTGAGATCGCAAGTACTCGAAGATGTTGAGAGACTGTTATTGGTGTAGATAAATGAAAAACAGATAGCAGGAGATAGCATCTCTCAAGCGATCATATGTGAAAAGGCTAGGAAGTTGCATGACATTTAATGAAAAAAAAGCCAGCAACTAGTGGTGATGTGAGTGAATTTAAGGCCCGCAAAGGTTGGTTTGAGGGGATTTAAAGGGAAGGGAAGCAACCCCGGAAAAGGACTTGCCACTCAAGTCCTAATGGAGGGGATTCCCCTTCTAAACACTAACACCATCAACACTCTCCCCTTTCCTCCCATCCCCAAAAATCATCACCAGATCTTCAATAAAGGTAAGTGTCATGTAACTGTGCATGTCTTCTTCAGTTTGTGTGTATTAAAATTAATATTTCATGTGGTAAAAACAATTTTTTTCATACTTTGGGGTGTCCTACACGGATTAATTTGATTTCCATTATTTCTTATGGGGAAAATTAACTTGACTAACGATAATTTTGACTAACTACGAGCTCTCAGGAACTGATTAATAGCGTTTGTCGAGGGTCCACTGTATATACGTTTTTACCGCTAGTGCCCCAAACGTATATATACGTTTTGTGTGTCCTACATTTAACATTGCCACAATAAGCCTGAGTCACCTAGACATGTGAGAATGGGTGTGAACACTCACTGTGCACCATATTAAAATAATTTGGGATGCCTGGGTATCATATGCTCTTTTTTCCCATTAAAAAACAATTTTTTTTTCTCAAAAAAGTTGGGGCAGTACGGTAGTGAACGTATATATACGTTTGGACCGTTCACAGGTTAATTTGATTTCCATTATTTCTCACGAGGAAAATTGAATCGCTTTTCGATATTTTCGGTATTCGACAAGCTCTCAGGAACGGAATATCAAATACCGGGAGTCCACTTTTTTTTTTTTTTTTTTACAAAGTTTCTCTTACTTAACACAGTCAAAGCTCTGAAATACCTTAACTCCAGTGAAGCTTAGACACTGAAAAGGAGGTTTAATTAATACCAACTACTCCCATAATCACCGGCATTACTTTTCCCATTTTTCATTCTTAAAGCCTGAAGAAAGGCTGTTAACTGTATTCCTTTCATAACATTGGTATACAACACTGATTAGACATGTGCAATACCAGCAAGAGCTTATTAACTGGAGGGCATCTCCCTTCCACAAGGTGGGAACAATAAGCAAGAGTGATATTTACCGCTTGCAACAAAACCTGTGTAAACACTTCTAGTTTGAAATGAGAAAAAAAAAAAGTTATCTTACCTTCTAATCCTTGGTCTTCCCCTTTGTTGCCACCTGTGACAGGATGTGGCCTGTACCTCCACTACATAATCACTGCACAATTTTGATTTTTCATAACTTTCATGCTTTATCAACAATTCAGTAAATACAGGTAGAACAAGTAAATGACCATTTAAGGAACAAGAATGTAGTCCAATTATGTTACACTAGCCTCCTTCCACAATCTCCCACCCCTCTGCTCTCCTCCAACCAAAATTTTCCTTAGAAATTGTTAGTTTCACAATTTTCTTTTTGGCATCTCCAGCATCACTATTCCAACTGGGTGCTAAGATTAAGGGCTTTAGCATCTAGCGGCAAGTGCTAGATCGGTGGAAAACATTGGTTTTGGGGGACTGACATGCTGTATTGTAAAAGCGAGTAAAGAATTAGCAAAAAATATTAACCCTTTCAGGGTCCGTCCCGTAGATCTACGGCTTTCCGGTGAGTGTCCAAACTGTAGATCTACGCCAAAATTGTAGCGCCGTCAAATTTAGCCCGAAAGCGCTCATAGGCCTACATGTGAGAGAATGGTGTCTGCGCCCGTGGGTTTGGTGTGCGCCATTAAAACAAAAATAGGCGCCTGCATAGCATGGTGGGAACGCCGGTCATTACCCTGTTCACCATGCCTCGTCGCAAGTCAGCTCTCACTCCCCGGAAAATTGGGACTCTCCTCTTCCTGTCTGATAGTTCTGACAATGATGGAAGTGGAAACTGAAGACGAAATTCTACGGCTCTTGATAAGTTAGTGACCGGAATTAATGACCAGGATATCGATAATAGTGCAGAAATCCCGACGTTCCTCGACCTTTACCTCTGGGTGTGGGCACTGTACTCACGGTTTCGGGTGTTCCTAAACGTAAGGAGAAAACTAATATTTCCCGTAGCCAGCCTCTGACTTCAGTAATGACGTGATTATGACGTGGATTGTGATTTTATTGCGCTCGTCGATCATTCGAGTAGTGATAGTGAGGAGGTAACATTCACAGTGAAGCGTCGGTATGTTCGCCGCCGCGTGGCACTCGGGTATGTACCCATGCTTATGCCAGGGGATGGAGTACTCCGCGAGTACATACAGTGGCCCTTACACCCGTTTTAGGTAGTGATAGTGGAGGTTGATGTGCTACACTTGGCATGGATGGGCACCAGGCCATCTGTGTATTGGTGTAGTGGTGCTTGCTGGTAGGTGGTAGTGGCACCGCCATGCGTGACTCACTGTGCCACGGGGCGGGGGGACCACGCTGCTGATCGTCAGTTCAAGGACAAAGCGGAGCGTCAGCCACCAGCCCGCCACAACCACAAACCACCAGTACAACCGCCTTATGATTGTTCCAGTATCCACCAGCAAAACCGTATTCTGGGATTGGCAGCCAAATCCAATTTTGTTCCCAGCCCTCACCACTTGATGACTCTCAAAGTGGAATTTACCTACCTGTCCCTTGGAACCACAGGCCCAAATGAACTGGAATTCTTTGAATTATTCTATTGACCAGCAATTGATGGAATATTATTGCAGGGAAAGTAATAAGTATTTTCAGTACACATGGGGCAAATACGATCTTATCCCACAAGTCAAGGACTACAGGTTGGAAAAGACGACTGTTGCAGAAATGTATTTGCTTTTTGCAAACATAATGCTTTTGCCTCACGTCTATAAGCATAATATATAAGCATACAGGTCCACAGATCAGCTAATTGTACCCATCCTTTCATGTTGAAATAATACAGTGAAACGGTTTATCTTACTGTTACGTATGTTGCACTTCTCTGACAAAAACAGGCCTGACAGAGTGACAGGTTTATTAAAGATTAGAAATGTTTTCATGATCTCAAACAAAAGTTCAGGATATACTTTTATCAATCAGACTTGTAATTGACGGGGAGTCTTTGATTTTGTTCAAAGGTTAGACTGTCATTCAAGCAGTATATACGAGCAAGAGGAACCGCTTTGGTATAAAATTGTTTGTTACTCTAGTTGATTGTGACAGCTGGGCTGGTGTTGGATATTGTTGTATAACGGGTTGTAAACATTGAAAGATACCAGATGTTATGGGTTTCTCATGGTAGACGTAGTGAGAAACATGATGGCATCTTATCTTGGTAAGGGCCATACATTATTTTATATACGATAATGGTACACAAGCCATTACTCAGTGATTTCATGCGAGTGAACAAGACAGATGTGTGGCACCAGTGCGTTCTAATCGTAAACATATGCCAGGCTCAACGCCAGTGTGTTTGTCCACACAGGGGTGGTGATGACGTGCAGGTGTTTACTGCCAATGACATTGGCAATTACGGTTGGCATGACAAACGAGATGTCACCTTGTTGACAACCATTCAACCGTAGAAAATGCAAGACAGTGGCAAGTTGATCGAGTGACTAATGAGTATTTCGAAAAACCAGTGGTCAGAGAATTGATTATACACAAAACATGCGCTTGGTTGGGACAGTGTGACTGCAGATTGGTTTTGTTGGACTGGTTCGTAAGAGTTACAAGTGGTACTTGAACTTTCCTGTCATTCATGGAAATTTCAATGTGAATGCTTATAATATGTACCAAATAAAGACTGGTAACAGACCACCGTTTGGTGAATTTTGTTTGTTCTGTTGTTTGAACAAATCATAATGAAGTACCAGGTACAACACCTGCAATACAACATGGTCCTCGAATTCATCACAATATACCCAAGCGTTTGAGGAGAGAAGGTGATCATTTCATAAGACAGATTCCTTCAACTCAAAAGAAATTTGCTCAGAAGAGATGAATTGTTCCTGTGCAAACAAATCGTCGGCCAACAGGACCAAGACACTCGGTTTGGGTGAGAGGCAGAGGGAATGTAAGGTGCTCTGTGCATGGTTCGCCTTGTTTCAAGGACGTTCCACAAGTCAGGCAGTTCTAAACCATGTCCAGTGATTGTAAAATATGTAATATATGATAAAATTATTATTATACAATATTTGTGCATGTTTATGGTAATAAACAAACAGTGGTATTACAATAATATGATAAACTTTAGTGCGGTTATCGTGTTCAATACAGGCGAGTATTTATATATTCAATTATATACAGTATGGTCCTCAGGCCCCAAATGTTTTAGTAGGAATAGAAAAAAATTGGAAAAAAGAAAAGAAAAAACAACTAAAACAACAAAATAATATAATACGCGTATGTGGAATTCGTCGATGTTGCCGCCACCACATCATTTTCTATAAACTTCTTGGCACTGTATCTCGGTAAGTACTGATCAGATTCTAATTTTTTTTGTTTTATTACCTTCACAAAAATATGCTCTTTAATTCTGTAAGAAAAAATAATTTTTCTTTTTTCAAAATTTCTTGGACACTGGTGCGTGACTTCAGATTTTGGCCTTGGACCCTGAAAGGGTTAAGGGAAAAAATGTCAGTTGAACATTAGTTATGGAGATGGGAAGCATGGTGCCTGAACTCAGGATGGGTGGAGAATGTTGTAATACAGAGAGTCATCTGAATCAACAATGTGGTGACCCTACCTTGGTGGGGGAAAACAGGCAATATAGAAAAAATGCTATACAGTGGTACCTCGAGTTACAAACTTAATTCGTTCCAGAAGGCCGTTCGAGTGCCGATACCCAACGAATTTGTTCCCATGAAGAATAATGTAAATTAGATTAGTCCATTTCAGACCCCAAAAATACACTTACAAAAGCACTTGCAAAAATAAATCGAGTCGAGAGCTGTTCGAAACTAGGTACCACTGTACATATTTACCTGATACTAAAAAATTCTAAACTAGCCATACATTAAAATAAAAAAAATTAAAATACCTGATGGGTAAACATTTGGGTGAAATAAAGGAGGTTCAAACTTGCACTTGGGTGGTGTGGATGGGTAATCATCCTTGAAGATCATGCGTAACCTGTAGAGACCACTCTCCCAGGGAGTCTGTTGGGTAAAAATGTCAAAACTTTAGTTTCCAACCGTATTACATATGCATTTTTTCCAATGGTCTATTTTTATACTTGCCTTTACATCACTTTCAACTAAAATTAAACAAGGTACTAAAATAAATTTTACAGCCTCTTCTCACTTAGCGACGTACAGGTACCATCTGACTTACGACCAAGTTTGGCTCCGACCAACTGGTCGCAAGTCAAAATGGACATAAGTCGAACCTTACTACTGAATATCAATATTACACTTTTGTATTTTATTTTATTTTGTCGTTTTATTTTGGCATTTCATTTTTTCCTTTACTTTTATGCTTTTAGTACTTTATTTAATACCGTAAGGTTTAGGATAAACACTGTACAACACAAACAGTTGTTTATTTCCCAGAAATTTGGCATAAAAAAACATGGTTGTAAGTCGAATGGTCGTATGTCGAGCAGGTCGTAAGTCGGATGGTAGGTGTATTCGTTTACGACTGACTTATGATGGGCTCGCTGACCAGTATGCATACCTAAATAATGTATACGAACTGATTTCCTCTATTCTGTTTACTACAACATACAGTACACTACCGTATAAACATTTAAAAATATACCAGAAATGTTATAAATGGTACAAAGGTGACATTAAAATAATATCAAAGATGGTTGACAAACCCCCCCCAAACTAACCCACTACCATTAGAGCAGGGGTGGCAAACTTTTCATGCACAAGCACACATTGTAAATTTTTTAATTAAAGGTCCTGCATAAATATATTTAAGTAAAATAATTAATAACTATTTAAAAATAGCCAAAATAAAAGAGTTATTAAAGAAAAAAGCAAATTAATTTTTAAAGTAGAAACTATCAATTCTTGGCGGGCTGCACGCGGGGGCCCATGGCCATAGTGTTGCCCACTGATGCATTTTAGTGTGCTCCTCACATAAGCGACAATTCATTTACTAGACGGGGTCCTAGAACGAGAAACTTAGCCTAAGTGAGGAGAGGCTGTATACCCATTGAAAACAAGTACAATTTCCTCATTCTGTTTTTTCCCTCGATTTATGTAACTTATGTTGGGGGGGTGCCATGTGAAAATTTCAGTACTTTTTAAAGTCATATACAATACACAGTAATCCCCCTTTATATTCACAAACCATTGAATACAAAAAGCAACAAAAATTAAAAACTGAAACCTTCACCATTTGTGTGGATTAATTATTAGTAATCGAAATAGAAGCGCTAACTCCAGGCTATACAGCGCTGCATGGTAGGGAAGGAAGCAAGGGAATGGGGATGGCAGGAGGGATGGGGGGATGAACACAGGTTACAGAAAACAGCGGGCAGGGATAGTAACGGGGGTAGAGGGTGCAATAGATACAAGTAGAAAGGGCTGAAAGTATCAGAGATTTGTGAAATAAGTCAGTTCGTTGTCAAAAAGTCAATAAGAGAGTCGGTCCGGATGAAAGGTGGGTCCATCAGCGAGAAGGGAAGGTAAAAGAGAGCAGCGGGGGGCGAAGACGACGACAGAGGTAAATGTCTCTGCTCTGCTCGTTGATAAAGTGGGAAGTCCCAACAGAATGTGCAGTGACTGATAATGGAGCTTGGCAATGCTCACTAGAGAAGGAGCAAGTCGCCCTCTCCGATGAATAACCATGAGTAAAGAAACGAGTGGGCCAATGCTAAGACGGAGAGAGTAGTCTCCCAACCTAACGACACTGGTGATAATACGACGGGCCAGTAACCAATACACGTTTAATCGACTGACGTTTGTTTGCCGAGCATAGTAGACCAACGTGTTGCAACGGGTTGTGAGGTGGGAAATATTACTGCAAAATATTCCCTACATGGAATACCTCTATAAGAAACTGTTAGGGTAAATCATGGTACTGCGACGCGCGCAGCAGGTCTTCCTTGATCATTGCCTGTAACGTCAACATTCAGACCAGAGGGACTCAACAAAAAACAATATCACGTATCCTAAAATTATGCTATAATATAGCATTTCTAGCATTAGATAAAGATGGCGGCTAGAACGACACCAAGTATGATACGGAGGACTAAAGGTGAGGTGCTAATTATCAAAATTTGTATAAGCCTGTAAGAGCACTAAGGGGTTCTGTCACGTTTCGCATGTAGGGGGGGGGGGGGTGGCAGGGGGGTTTGGGGGGGGGCACGGTTGCGATATTATACACAGGCATAGATGCAATAACGGATAAGTGCTGTAAGATGGCATATTTTTCACAGCAGTAAAAATACTAGCTGAAGATATAAATGCGCCTTGAACGACGCTGTCCTGAAAAACACTGCTCGAATCCTAACGCCGTTCAGAAGAACGTTAAGATGCCATCTGTGTACACCGTCAATGGCATGAGAAGTGAGAGGAAAGTGGTCCAAAGAAAAAGAGACGGAAGCGACCGTAGACAGATTTGGGGCTTTCACAAGGAGGAGAAAGAACAGACTCACCGAACATCTGGAACTTCCCCATGGGGTTAGGGGATAGTTAGATGCTACATGTACATATAAAGGTGGTAGTTGACGAGAAGACAAGAGCGAATGAAAGGCGAAGAGAGAAGGGACGGAGTAGCAGAGGCGGCGAACAAATAAAGAAATGTCTACTAATATCAGTGACCATTCTATAAATGGAGAAGGATTTGCGGAGATCATGATGAAGCGTACATAGTTGAGCGCAGCAATGGGCATCACGGCGATCGATAAGAGGAACTTCGGTCTCTTCTCTTCTGCATAGAGGCTTTCGACAGGGGGTAAGAGCGAAAAGCACCAAGGCATAACAATCCTTGGTGATGAATGGGTTTAAGGCGAGAGAGAGTAGCAGGAGATGCCGCTGAATAGATCTGGTCCCCATAATCAAGTTTCCGATAAAATAAAGTGGAGTAGGTGTACGGAGGGTCGACGTTCAGCTCCCCACGAAAGATGAGCAAGGTTTTTTAAAAGAAGTTCAGCCGCTGTGACAAGTTGCCTTCTAGAGAGGTTTAATGTGGAGGTTTTCCAGATAAACCTAGCGATCAACAGAGGAGCCCCAGAAACTTGACTGTATCACTATTCATGGTACGTTGAGCCAGAAGGTTACAAAGGATGATCAGAGATACAAAGCGTCTAGTGAAAGTGATTTGGGTGGGTTAGTGCTGTAAAATTTAAACCCATTGTGGTGGTCCCAATTGTGAAAGCACTGTCGACTGCATGCTGGAGAGGAAAACTGTAAGGATGTGACAGGTCCAGCCCTGCACAGGCAATAGCGAATGTCATCAACATAGAGTGATGGACCAAATATTTGATGAAGACTAGAGGCCAAATCATTAATAGCAAGGAGAAAAAAGTGTTGTGCTCCGAACACATCCCTTGGGGGGAAACCCCTTCACTTGGACAAAGTCCGGGGAGAGCACATTAATAACCCGAAACTTCGGAAATGCCCTGTCACTTAAAAGTTCTTAGAGGAAGGATGGTAGATTGCCTACGAAGCCTAAGGATGGTGGCTTGGGCTAAAAATTATACCTCAATTTTGTCATATGGCCTTCTACAAAGCAAAAAAAATATGGCAATAAAAACTGGAGTGGTTATTCGCAAAAGCATTACGAACATACGTATCCAAGCGCAGTAAGGGGTCTATGGTAGAACGTCCTTACGAAAGCCCCCATTACGAGTGGTAGAACTGGTTTGTGTTGTCTCTAAATACCACACTAAACGTCTATTTAACTAGACGTTCCATTACTTTGTCAAACAGCACTGTAAGAGCAATGGCGATAGTGGGAGGTTTCCAAGTCCGCGTAGTGCCTGGTTTGCGAAAGGGAGAACAATGGCGATTTCCATTCCCACGGCTGTGGAAAGAACCCCTTGTGACCAAATCAAGATTGTAAAGCGTAATAGGACTGCAAGGGCTGACTGAGGTAAATGTTGTAGCATATGAATATTATTCGTTCGGGCCCAGCTGCCGATGATCGACAAGCGGAGAGAGTTTTGCCTCCATTCTTGAAGTGTAAAAAAGGCACATTATACTGTTCTTCTTGAGAGAAGAAAGTCCAAGGTGCTAACTCTCTGGCAGACCTTTGGAGGAAGAAATGAGGGGCATAGATGGAGTCCCCTGAGGAATATCGACCAGAATGAGTTGGCCAATCTTCATCATTGCAACTATCTAGTTGGGTTTGCCTATAAATCAACAACACCGGCAACCCGTCAAAACAGGAGCCGTGTCAGGAGAATATATTACCCACTCATTTCGTACTTTTTTCCAGACTGGCACTCAGAGGAAAAAGAGAGTGATGGATGGAGACATAATCCCGCCACAATGCGTTTAGCGTCACGGATGACACGGCGAGCGATTCCGCACGCTTCTGTTAAAAATCAAGGGAGTCCGTCTCTGTGGTTCTATGTGGTACCGGTACCTGCCTCCATGCAGTGCGCGTTTCAAAACGTACTGCACGAAGCACAAGCAGGTGACACACCAAGCACGCATTTCCTGAGAATGCCAGGCCCCGAAGTTTGGGGTAAGAATAGAAGCTGCGTGAAACGAGGACGAAAGAGGGTTAAAAGCTCATCGATGGAGGACGAAGGAATGAACCCTCTTTAAAAACAGTCATGTGAGTAAAGTTCCAATTTGCCCGATTAAAATTGCCAGCGTGGGGTGCGAAGAGGTGTCGAATATGAAGGAGTAAGAAATTAATGGGAAATTGATCACTGTCATGTAAGTCCGGAGAGACAGACCAAGTAAAGTCCTCAGTTGCGCGGAGGAAGAACAAACTGAGAGATCGATGCAAGAGAGATATGAGTCCGAGGATCAAAATGGGTGTGAGTACCTGTATTTTAAAAACATGGAGGGGGTGGGTGGCAAGAAAAGCCCTCTAACTGAATTCCACGGGAATCTACATGAGAACCCTCCCCAGAAGGAAATGGTGGGCATTAAAATCACCAAGTAACTAGAATTCGGTGGCGGTAATGACGAAACCAAGGAAGGCAAAATCCGAATAAGAAATGCCCGAGAAGAGAGAGATATAATAA